AAAAAAAAAAAAAAAAAAAAAAAAAAAGAAAGAGAGAAAAATGAAAACAGTGAATTATTGGCTTACATCAACATCCGGTACAATTTTCATTATTCCAGTCGAGAAGTCCTGTGATATACTAGCGTCCGGGCACATTCTTTGAGCTTCGATTTCCTGCAGATGAGTATCATTTCCTCTAATCTCCTCTGTTGGTAATGGTGCAGGCTCATTCGCATTGGCACCTGATGCTTCAGGAATGCTTGCTTGGGCCTCGACACCACGAACCTCCTCAAAGTTTTCCTCAAATTGACTGAGACAAGCCAATAACAAACAATTTAATGATTTAATAGATGATAACCAAAAAAACCTCCAAAAACATTACCCCTTTAGGAAAGATACTAGACTGAAAGCAAACATACCTAACAAGATAAACATCTATGGGTCCCATGGTGCTCCGAAGAACTATTCTGTACCTCCTCTGTGGGTAATCCACGGCCTGTGGGGGTAAATTGGGAAAGAAAATTGAAATGGAGTTTATGTTGGAACTATTTTTAGGTCCTGAGTTACACTCCGAAGAAGAAAAAAAAAAATCATTTGGAAGAAGTACCTCATCGGGTTCTGGAACTTCTAATGTCGTACCATGAGGAGCTTTAATTGCTATCAGAGTTTCATTCTGATAGAAAGAACAAGAACTCATCTTAGCATTAAGAAGTTGCAACACACAGAAACACACAAACACAAATACCTACAAAATTTATACCTGGAAGCAAGGTAAGGTTTTGATGTCTTCTTCAGTGACAAAAAGCCACCTGGAAAAGATATTAACAATTAAATTGTAAGCAATCAGATGATTGTGAGGCAGCCAAGAACTGAAATTTGAAAGGATTTCTTGAACAGGTGGAAAGAGTGTGCTTACTTTTGATTGTTTTCGTCTTCACTCAGGCCCCTCAGTTTGTCCTGCATTTCTCTGAAAATAGAACAAAACTTAACTAGAAGAAACGCATTTAGAATGGAAAAGAATAATTGCAAGTGGCATTGATCTGATGAACTCTATAGAAGCTACAGTTGAGGACCTTATGCGTTCATCTAATTTGTGTTCCTCCAGATTCAGATTTTCCAGCTCTTCCTGAAAAGAAGAATAAAGTTGATGAGAACTTATTTAACACCTATCCGTAAATAAGGTATGTAAGAGAGCTAAAGTTTGCCATACTCAAACGCTTTGAAGTGGGAATTTTAATAAATATTCTCGAGAATTATTATGAAACGGGCACGCCATGTGAAGGAGAATAATGAGACAATTCATGAGGTTTGAACAATTTAGAAAAGGCCATAATCCCCAGTTAAGGGATTCGACCTAGGAAAATAGTGAATATATTGTATTCCACAATATGCACAGTTTTTTATGCATATACCTGCAAACTGGAAATACTCTCAACAGCATCCCCTGGTCTTGAGACGTCCACCCCCCTATCCAGTAAACTTTAAGTTACTCATATTTTCTTATTTGCTAGCAAGATAAATGCAGACTTAAGATGACAGAAGGGGAAAAATCAGGTAAAATAAAGTGTATTGGACGAGTTCTTCCATACTTCCACTGGATTCTGTTCTTTAGTTTCTTCTCTATAAGACCAATGCCTTCAAGAACATTAGTTATATCATATATACGCCTCTTCTGAACCTGTGAGGAAGAATTATTAGAAAATTAAAAATTTATACATCAATTGCTAACACAGCCACAACTGAAGCATTGGTTACTGATATAATCACCTCCAAAGTATCTGCAGCTTTATTCAAGTCAAGAATACCATCTTCTGCGCGTTTAATTAGATCAATGAACTTCTTTGTTAAGAGACCTGAGATAGAGAAAAAAAATGGAACGTTATGAGTTTATCCTCAGCTAGAATAGAGTAAAATTTTGAGACAGACAAAATAGAGATATGATTTTACATGAGGATGAAAAACAATTGTAATAGCATGGGGATATTTGTTACCTAAAGAGCTGTCATAACGACAGGGGCCCACAGGAGTGAGATTATTGCCGCCAGGTGAACCTGCACAAACATGTCTATTAGAAACTTTCGTTCTCTTCAAGTTGAATGAAAGACTAGACTGCCACATGTAATAATAGATTGGAAGTTGAGACTCAGTGATATTAAAAGGCAAAGATGAATTTTAAAATGGTAAATGCTTACCAACATTTGCCATGGGAAGTCGAGATGCAGTTTTGTTGGCCTTATTTGATCTTGGGGCTTTTGGGGCTTTTCCTGATTTTGCAGACGGTGGTGTCTGAAGAAGGCCTTTGATGACAGAAACACCTGCAATTTGCTCACCAGATTCTACTTCATGATAAACTGTCCCAGTTTTCCGCTTTAATGACTGGCGGGGAAGAAATAAACAAGCCACAGTCAGCAAAAACCACAATAAGGCATTGAGGTCAGGAAAATAATGAAAAATTAAAAATATATCATATCATTATATAAAGATAGGCCCAACAGATGTATTATGTATATGCAATTAATTATTCAGTGAAACCATGTAAAGATGAGTGTATTTGGCAGTACGAATCATACATACAGTAATAAAACCTTATGAATAAACAACAAATTCCATGGAGTTTATATCATTCATCCCATTGAATTCAATAAAAACAAATTATATTCAAGAGCTTTCCCCTTCAAATCAATGAGCTGATGCTTCAATCCATCAAACTCGGAGATGTTCAAATGAACCACCAGTTGGGTATGGAGACCTCTAGCTACAACATCTTGCCCAAATTTTTATTTCCCTTTTTCGTTGGCTAAGGACTCAAATACAAGTATATAAAACATTCAAAAAGCATAACTAGAATAACCTTCCCAGGAAACATGATAATCCCATCATATGCAAAAAACGATCCCCGATCTTAGAAAGGAAAAGGAAACAGAAATAAATGTTAAAGTGGTTTAAGTATTTCCAATCAGAGATCATCCAGGAGATTAGGAACCATGCTATATCTCAAAATAATTACCTGAACTATGTTCTGGAGATGAGAAGCAGAGACAGCTGTCTTGAATGGAAACTACTGTCACATTCCAATTTACCTTAGAAACTAATGAGCCTTTTGAGACCATTTATTAAAATTTTAAAATACTTACCCATAAAAGGACAAGATATTATTTTCTACATCCCTTTTGCCCTGCAGGAAGAGATGAGGAGAAGCAACCACAAAAGAGAATTGCTTGGCAGCATGCAGCCCTTCACCCTTATAACCTTTTTTAACTCATATTAAGAAAATAAGGGATCAATTTAATCTCTTGGATGACGTTTCACATAGACGCATATTTTTTGTTCCAAGACAGTTAATGGAGAGGGGCGTAAAAAAATTCCACTTTATTTCCCACTCACTTTCTTTCCAGTGAAAAGAGTACAATCTCCCACCTCATCCATGCAACATCTCAGCCATACTAAGTCCATTTGGATGCATACTTTCATCTAAATTCATCCTATCATCCCCGAAAACCAATTTTTTGCAACTCAGGAAACAGAATTTAGGAATTTCATCTATAACATGAAAATATTTAACACTAGTCATAGACACAGTTGAACCAACCTGACTTCAAAACTTGTATAGCTACATGTTGTTATCTAGTGCAAAATACTAAGAAGATGTTATGTCGGACTCAGCAAAAATAATTAAAAGAAAAACTTTCAATTTCTGTTTTCAGGAAGACCTTAGAACACGTTGATATTTTTGGATGACACTGAGCTTCTCGGAGTTGACTTTCATTGATGTATCTTGCCATTGTAAAATGCCTAATATGCTTTTTAATGAGATAAAAGGATTTGGTTAGATTTCAGATTCCATATGACGAATTACTCATCACATCGCTAATGCTTTGATAGAAGCATCTCGGTAAGGGCTGTAATGTTGGGAGCCTCCACACAGTTGCTATAGTCAGAAAGATTCTACTGTTCAACAAATGAAATGTTGAGAAAACATTACTAACAAAATTGGTCTCTTTTAAGCATATAACTAAAAGTATCTTGAATTTTTTTTTTCTATTCTGATTCCTACTCCAGTTACTACTAGTATATAGCAGCTACTTCCTCATTTTTTATTTTTCTTGAAGAAGTGAGTGAATTCAACTTTCATTCAAGTAATGCCATGGAATATGAATGCGAATTGCATAAGGTACATACAATAGAAAAGAAAATACATGAGACACTAATGTGAAGTGACGAACGATATGTAAATGTAAGGCCAATCTCAACAAGAGCCACTATATGCGGCAATTTTAATATATCAATGAGATGAATTATCGAATTCCAACTGTGTCGAATCTGTCGAGTTAAGAATTCCATTTGGTGAAAAATGGTAAGGGATGATGAAGATGTTCATAATAATTCTGACGGTTAACATAAATCTTAATCACCGCTTAGATTATGTATACAACTTTGACAACATATATCGTATATCATTAATGTCGATGAATGTGAAGCATGATTGTACTAGCACACTGTAAATAAATCCATTTCAAAATGCTGTCTAGATAACACAATGATTGGATCTTTTACCGTTCTAACAAGCTAAATTATGCTGGTCAAGCCCAAACCCTCTTAAAAGGACAAAAAAATCAACTTTACAGTCCCTACCACTGTCTTAAACTTATGAACTAATCACAGCTAAAGAAACCCTGAAACCCGACTCAGATTTTGACATCAACATTTACAATCTGGCTACCATTCATGAAATTCAAGAACATAGAATCTTGCATATTCACACCAAAATAACAAAATAAAACATTAGTAAAGTAGAAATATTCACAGCAAACACAATTGGGTGACCACAAAAAAACAATAACAACAAATTCATGAGAAATTAATGCTCACAGGAAGCCTCTTCACAACCACGGTCTCAACAAATTCCCGATCTGACCGGTGAGTATCAGCGGCAGCAAAGTGGTGGTAGTCTCCGCCACCGCCACCGCCACCGCCTGTTCCTACACCAAACGGCGGCTTCATGGAAGTAAACGGCAACTGTTTCCTCGAACTGTTCTGCTGCTGCTGCATGATTTGATCTCTTTCTCGAAGCTCAAACACACCAAAGATACAAAAAAGACCCTCAGTTTTCCCAATTAACCTGGTTATTTCGAGAATCGATCTTCGAGGTTTTCCCGTATGTGTTAAAAAAATCGAAAACAAAGATGCAAGCTTGGAGACGAATAATCTCTGGTCCAGAGAGATCTGATGCAGGAGAAATTAATTAAAATAATAAAGAGAAAAAGAAA